GAGCAACTTATGTCATATCTTCACTTAGAACCATCAGCAACCTTTATGCGTAGATTGTGGCTAAAATTTGGTGAAAAAAATAGACGGCAGTTCTCTAAGAGACTTTCCTTCGCCTTTCTTTAAGAGGGTTGCTCAGAAAAGAGCTAGTTCTGAGTTTCGTGCACGTAGATATCACTACTATATATAATGCTAATCCCTACTATATATAATGCGCTAAGTCTGTCTGTCTGTCTGTCTGTCTGTCACGAAATTCGGTATTAAGCGAACAACAACCTACAGGGTCCAGGTCAAGTTTGGGATGGGTGTACCATATCTCGAGAAGTAAAAAACATACATCACCTAAGCGGAGCCCCGCCCACAGTGGGCGTGGCGTGCGTCGAAATGAGTGGTACTGAGGACCATGATTTCAAATTCAGTCACAAAACAGCCTCGAGACCGGGACAAAAGTGGGTATAGGTGTGCGTTGGTAAGCCAGATTGAATTGAGGAGACCCACCCTCGGTGGGCGGGGCGTTCTCTAAAAAAGCGGTGCTCAATGAAAATATTCATAACTCGGTTAGGAGGAAGCCTACAGAGCAGAAAAGAAATTAGTGCAGGGGAGCAATGTCTAAGGTATTTCCAGCATACATGATGTGAACGGAGGCCCGCCCACAATGGGCGGAGCGTGTCGTGAAGTAGACAGACGTTTTCTACAAGAGCTCATAAATCGGCTCCGAGATGACTTAGAGACCGGAAAACAGTGGATCAGGAGGAGAGGAGAAGCTAAATGTCAAGGCTGGGCGTGGCTTACACCAAAGTGGGCGGAGTTTGCAACCAGGCTCATAACTCGGTTCCTAGAAGTCCCGGGGTCCGGGAAAAGTGGATAAGGGTTGGCAGAGGGAAGGGGGTCAAGCTGCTGTTGGCGGGCGGAGCATGCACCAAAGTGGGCGGAGTTTGCCACGGTACTTCATAACTCGGTTCCAATAAGTTCCGGAGATGGGAAAAAGTAGAAAAAGGTTGGGGAAGAGATGATAGTCAACTGATATCGGTGGGCGACCCATGCACCAAAGTGGGCGGGGTTTGCCACAAAGATACGTAGCTCGATTTCGTCCCCTACAAGACCTCATAATTCGGCTCCGAGATGACTTAGAGACCTGAAAAAACGTGTACAGAGGTGAAAGGAGGAGTAGAGGTTGAATGTGAACGCTGGGCGTGGCACACCCCGAAGTGGGCGGAGTTTGCCACCACTCTCATAACTCGGTTCCTAGAATCCGGCGACCGGGGAAAATGTGATAAGGGTTGAGGTATGGAGTAGGGTTGAATGCATTGGTGGGCTAAGCATGCACCAAAGTGGGCGGGGTCTGCCCAGAAAATTCATGACTCATAACGTCTCCTACAAGACCTCATAATTCGGCTTCGAGATGACTTAGAGACCGGAAAAAAGTGTGTAGAGGTTAGAAGAGGAGGGGAGGTCAAATGTAAGCGCCGGGCGTGGCATACAATGAAGTGGGCGGAGTTTGCAACCAGGCTTATAACTCGATTCCAAGAAGTCCCGGAGACCGGGGAAAAGTGGATAGAGGTCAGCGAAGGAAATGAAGCCAACTGCTATGGTCATGCACAAAAGTGGGCGGAGTTATCCACGGAACATTATAACTCGGTTCCAAGGAGTCCTGGAGATCGGGAAAAAAGTGGATAGAGGTCAGCGAAGGAAGAGAAGTTAGCTGCTATAGGTGGGCGCGGCATGCGCAAAAGTGGGCGGAGTTTGCGTCGAAGTTATAATTCGGTTCAAAGAGTCCCGGAGACCAAGGGAAAGTGGATAGGGTCAGCGAAGGAAATGAAGTTCATTTGCTATTAGTGGGCGGGGCATGCAGCAATAAGGGCGGATTATCTACGAAACATCATAGCTCGGTTCCAGGATGCCCTGGAGACCGGGAAAAAGTGGTCAGAGTCCAGCAACGGAGGGAGGTCAACACTATTGGTGGGCGGAGCATGCACCAATGTGGGTGGGGTTATCGACGAAACATTACGACTAGGTCCCAAGATGTCCCGGAGACCGGGAAAAAGGTGGAAAAAGTACGACAACGAAGGGGAGGTCGGAACGGTGGGTGGGCGAACATTGCCAGGAAGTTTCACAAAAAATATTGATGGCCTTGTTTTAGTACTACTGCAGTCCCGTGGGATGCACGAGAATGCGTGCGCAGCCAAACTGGTATGTATATACAGGGGTGGCCAAAAAAAGACACTTAGCCCATGGCGCACATCATCATCATTATAGTGGCACCTGGATTCACAAAAAATGTCACGAGTGTCACGTTTCACAGTCATCGATTCGGAATCTTGACCGCAACTCTAACGAAGGACATCAGCGTCTCTATCATTCAGGTGTACGCCCCAACGAGTGACAGTAACGAAGATCAACATGAGGACTTTTACGATGACCTTGGCGAGCTAGTTCGATCACAGAAAAGCAGTTATGTGGTGGTATCTGGAGACTTTAATGCACGAGTTGGGTCAAGAAGACCAGAAGAACATTTCATTGGACCACACAGTGCAGAACAACGAAACGCAGCTGGAGAAAGGCTGGCAAACTTCTGCGAGATATACCACATGTATCACGGGAATAGTCAGTTCGTTAAAGCAGTAAGGAAAAGATGGACATATGAGTCCCCGAATGGGCAGCATTACCACGAACTCGACCATATCCTATGCAGCAGAAGGGCCATCACAGATGTTGGAGTAGTCCCATCATTCAATACCGGAAGCGATCATCGACTTCTACGCGCAAGACTGCACTTCGAACGAAGTCATGTGCGCCTGACACGTATACGATCAAGACAACCGCGGGCGACTATTCTTGATGCAGATGCGCTAAAGGCGATGGTAGACGACGTATCCTTGGATATGAAAAACAACATAAATGAGGACTATGACCATCTACTAAACACAATCTCCACGCTTGCTTCACAATCGCGCATCATGGCCCCCAACCACAACTCCCGTAGAATATCGGATACCACCCGGAATCTTCTAGCGCAGAGGAGACAAATGGACCGACATCAAAATCATGTTGAATACACATTGCTTAATCGGCTCTGCAGACAAAAACTCGCTGAAGACCACAGGAATTTCTACCGCTGCCGTCTATTGGAAGCCGCATCCAGCAAACGTAGCATGAAGAAAACAAAGCGAGAGATGGCACAATACCGCCTAACGATTTCTTGTCTGAAAGGCCCCGATGGATTAAGAACTACGTCTCGGCCAGAAATGGAATCGATACTGACGAATTTCTATTCAAACCTTTTCAAATCAGATCACGGCACCTCCACTGAACAGTTACCAATTGGCGAAACGGTGCCATCGTTTTTACCATCAGAAGTTCGTTGCGCAATCGAAACAATGCCGAGAGGAACGAGCTCCAGGAGCTGATGGTTTATCCTTGGAGGCCTTACAAGCATGCGGTCATAAAGTTTATTGTGCTTTAGCTCAACGTTTCACTCGTTACGTTCAAGAATGCGAAGTCCGGCCGCATGGAGAAAATCCAAAACAATTCTGCTCTTTAAAAAAGGAGATAAGGAAGACTTGGAGAACTATCGACCAATCACGCTCCTACCAGTGATATACAAGGTGTTTACGCGATGCCTTCTTGCTCGAGTTAGAAAGAAACTAGACGAAGCTCAGCCAATTGAACAGGCAGGATTTCGACGAAAGTTCAGCACTTTGGATCACATTATCACCTGCTGTAGAATTATTGAAGCTGCTCGAGAATATCACGAACCACTGATACTAACGTTCATTGACTATCGAAAAGCATTCGATTCAGTAGAGCGAGAAAAGATATGGTCAGCTCTCAATGAACAAGGCGTCGAACTCCGTTATACGAAAATCTTGAGTGAATGCTACTCTGGATGTAGCACAATATTTCGACCGTTCTTTCGTGATTTAGAGGTGACTGTGGAAAAAGGAGTCCGCCAAGGAGACCCCATTTCCCCGAATCTATTCTCTGCTTGCCTGGAGTCTACAATACGTAACTGCGATTGGCATGACACAGGAATCAAAATTGATGGAAGATATCTAAATCACCTAAGATTTGCCGATGACATAGTACTGATCTCAAGAACTTCAGAACAAGCTTCACAAATGCTCAGTGACCTACATGCAGCAGGAACAAAAGCCGGTTTGAACATCAAACATGAATAAAACGAAGTGCATGAGGAATGAGTACTCAGACAGAGATCCTGTTTTCCTACAGGGTGAAGCTCTGGAAGATGTCGATGAATATGTCTGCTCTGGAAGATGTCGATGAATATATCTATCTTGGCCGACTAAAAAAACGACCTAAAAGGGAAATCTTAAGGAGGAAAAAAGCTGGCTGGGCAGCGTACAATTCAGTCAGAAGTGTGATCGAAAATACCAGAGACGAGGAACTGCGAGCAACCCTGTTCAACTCCACAGTACTAC